TCTCTCATTCATGCTTGTATTTATTGCATCTCATCCTTCAGATTATTCAACAAAGAACTTCAGCCATTTCTTCTCAACTATTTTAACAAAGAAATTCAGCAATTTCTACTCATCCTTCAGCTGTTTCAGCAATTGATTTCAGGCATTTTCAGGGCAATCCTTCAGCATCACAGCATCCACACGCATTTTTGACAGGAAATGCATTTCTCTAGTTATTTGTTGGTTTACATCTCTCTGTGAAAAGGACAACAGACTGGAAGGTGTTGCCAACCTTAGTTCTAAAATCAATGGCAGAACATAAAGGTCCCATGCTCAGTACAATACTGAACAAGTCTGTTTAAATCTTTGCCATCAGGAATGTGCTTGAGACTGTCTGTATGCAGAATGAACAGAAGGACATTTGGGTTTATTCCAGAGGCAATCTGACTTGTGAGTACAAGACCTGGCAAACACCGGTTATGTTTACCCTGATAAATGCACTGCACATCAGTAGATTCTTCCTTTTTACACATACCTGTAGTGTCACTGTTTTTAGAATTACCCGTTATTGATTGTTGTGTGTGCGTGTGAATGAACTGATATGAAAATGATCAAATCCACCGACTGATATGAAAGAAAATGTGTCTGTGCAAGCTAAAAGTGTGGTTAGTTGGTCTGGTTCTTTCTTCTTCAAAAGGTTCTGTAATCATTAAGACAACTTTATTGTTAAGGTGAGAGTTAGTTCAGGTTCATCTATAAAGTCAGCGATGGTCCTCACAAACACACAAAAAAAAAAACAACCACATATTTATGTACGGACCTCAGATATCACAGCGCTGATGTTCTTGGCGTGGATGAGTTCAGCTCCAGGAACAAACAGACTCTGACCCTTCATCTTCTCAAAGTCCTCCTTATACGTCACCTGCAGGAAGGACAGGAGAGTACATGGCTGTGTGTGAGAGAGTGTGTGTGGGCAAGACACTGGGTGGGAGGCGGGGTACATCCTGGACAGGTCACCAGCCTGTGTAGACAAACCGGGAAAATTTGTGTCGCCAGTCAACCTAAGCTGCATATATTTGGACTGTGGGAGGAAGCTGGAGAGAACCCACACACGCACAGGGAGAACATGCAGACTTCGCACAGAAAGTCGCTGGGTCAGCCAGGGTTCGAACCCGGGACCTTCTCGCTGTGAGGTTAATTGTGTGGCTGAGGAGGTGGAGCAGTCGTCTCCCAACCAGAAAGCTGGTGGTTCAATTCTCTTTCTCCCAGTCCACATGTTGAAATGCTCTTGGGCAAGACACTAAACCCCAAGTTGCTCCTGATGGCCAGAGCAGCTGCCCTGCAGCACCACCATCAGTGTGTACGATGACGGACGGCTGCCTCGATTCTGCACCAGAGACAAATCCCCTGTGTGTGTCCATACTTGGTTGCCTCCATTCAGGCTGACATAGCTTAATGTGGTTAACGCCTCCATGGTAACATGGCTTTAGGATTGTGCTCAGTGCAGAGTTTCACCAGAAATCTGGAGAGTGAAACAGGTGAAGAGAGAGTTTCTGTCTACGAGACAGAATGCAGCCAAAGTCTGAAGATCTTTATGTGTTAAACTTCTGAATGTGATTTAATGAGTTCTCTTCCTGCATGTGATGATTAATGAAGCTGTATGAAGGCAGCAACAGAGACATACAGACAGGCAGCAGCTGGAGTAATAAAGTGAAGATGACTTGACTGGCTTCCACTGTAGCTGATGAGTCACTCTGGTGTTGCAAACAGCTGAGCTGCCAGGTTTGACTCACACCAGTGAATCAATATCTCACCCTCCCACGCCCTACAACAATATTCACCCTCATTCAAATTTTTTCTCTGGTATATTTGCTTCTAACCACTGCTACAGAAGTAAAATAGCAGTTTTCTTTCTCGTCATATGGATCTTTGGAGGGATGGTTACCAGTGGCAACACTGTGGTCAGATCATACTGCAAGAGGCGGAGGAAGAGGATGATGTCTTGCTGTCTCACACAAGTTGGAGGAGTTCACATTCAGAATCAGTTTTATTCATGAATTTAAAGCCAAACCACCATAAAATATCTCTGGATTAAAGGTGAATCCACTGTGAGACAGTGAAGCTGTAAATAATCCAGAGCCAGTAGCTCCCTGATTGACACTCCAGCACCTTAACTCTGGTTTCCACCAGAAGGGGGAAAAAAAAAGACCACCACTGTTCACTAACTAGCTGGTAGCTACCACCCCACCACACAGGCAATATGCACAATAAAGTTAAAGATGAATCTGACTGAGAGCATTATTTTGATCTGATATGGTGACAGCCCTAATTTCTATGTTAATGTAAAACTGACACAGCACTTTAGTGTCCATTAGTTCATTTCAAATTGAATGTGCTGAAGCTCAGCTTTCTTACTGTCTAGACTGTATGTAAGTTTAAAAGAGTTAAAGCCACATCTTTGTTTGGGTGAATGTAAAGTTAACTCAGAACTGTGCTGGTGCTACAGTGACTCAAGTTGTTTAGTTCTGGCCCAGTGATGAGTGACTGTTGTCAATTTTTCTCAGGGGAGTTCACATTAATGTTAATGTGACTCATGATTTTTATTTTTGTTACCTCAAACTAATGACACATTTCTATACTTCTATAATTATACACTTACTCCAATAATCAAATTTTGGTCTGTCTTGTGTTTGCATGGATGTGTTACAAACAAACCAAGAGGCCAAAACATGAAGTCTTATGAACTGAAAATGTAGGTGACCTTATCTTGTAACACACAAAATATACATTATGCAAACAGGAAAAGTTTTTAAGATCAATTTGTTAACAGTTTACCACTGGTCTGTTGTGGACCCCAGGAAGTTTAGCTGACTGCCACTGCACGCAGCTCATGGGGATCTTTTAAAATAAACAAACAGACCACCAGAAGGTGAATTCAGCGAGAATGTAACTGCTAAAAACATGTTTGTCCCAGGGTAGACAAACACACACATATATTTTACTGTGGGATGCAGCAATACTTGCAGTCACTGATATGTGGCTCCTCCACAGAGCTACACACAGTGCTGCCAATGATGCAGGATGACAGTTGCCAAAACCATCCAATCACAGTAACTCTGTTGGTTTGTATAAATCCAGTGTGAACACAAACGGAACCATAATCATGCAACAGTCTGGACCCCATGAACCAAACCACAGGCATCAAACAACCTGAAATCAATCAATTAAACTCCATTAACTTACATCACTGGCGAGCAGGCTGCACTTCCTGTTAAATGCTGGGTCTGGCAGTGGAAGCTTTACATCAGAGGAGGCCTGAAAACACACGAGTGTACAGTATATGAGAATTACAGTTAGTTCACTGTGGACTTCTGAGGCCAGTAAGTGCACTGAAATGATTTAGAGAGAAGCCAAATGTGACCATGACTTTGTCCTGCTATTTACTGCAGAGCTTCCTAAAAGACCTGGAGAATGGAAAAGCTTCTGTAATGGCCTTTAAATCAGCCTGGGATCCTATACATTCCCACTGCAACCCAGAATAAAGTTTGTAACTGAAGAATACAACTGCCAAACTGAATAATCCATCTGACCCCACTAACAATAATGAGACAGAGAAACCTGTGAATCAACCAGGGGAAACTTTCCTTCTTCAGGCACTGTCAACCCCTCGGTTGTCTTAACAGGCCGGATTCACTCCCAAAATCCAGTATCAAAGGCTAATAATGGCAAGTTTTCATTTGCAGTTTGAATAATCCTCTCTGAGCCCTTACAAAAAACCTGCAGTGCCAGGCGATGCCCCACACCAAAGTCTCTAAGACTCACAGTCAGAGCTGGGGGAAGGGTGTTTTGCTGCTCTGCCTCTCAGCAGACTTCATCGAAGAACAGCTAAATCCTCAAAGATGTACACAGTTTGGGAACATTGTGTGCAGTGTCATATTTCTTACCAGAGAGAACAGGTGAGCTAAAAGTGGTGGCAAACTTTTAAAATACCAACTTTTAAAATCATAGTTGTGTCCGATGTTTCCAAGTTAACCTGTGAACTGTAGAGCTTCTGTGCACATTCAATACACTGAGGTTAAAGGTAAACCAAAAGAAACTAACAGAAACTTTACTGACCTTCTGTTACACCTCAGATCTTAAAAAAGAAAAGGAATTAAATGGCAAATCCTTTTACATGATAAACTGACTAAACAAGAGTCACCTTGTGCTCTAGGACAGTGTTTCCCATGGGGTGGGTCACAAGAGACATGGTGGGGAAAAAAATTGTTTTTGACAGTGATATATTGTTGTGGATTCACATGCTTAGGTAGTATCCAATGTGGGGCTTTTGTTTTGAAATGTGTGCATGATATGCAGAGGCCTAACCTTGCCATGACAGGCCTTGATTGGCAGGTGACAGTGTACACTCACTGAAGATAGGTCCACTTGTTAAGATGGCGAAGCGAAAATATGATTCAGACTATGTTAAATATGGATTTACTTACATAGATAATAAAAATGGACATAAGCCTCAATGTGTGATATACAGTGAAGTACTGGCACAAGAAAGTATGAAGCTGTCCAAGTTAAAACACCATTTAGAAACAAAACACGCCACATACAAAGACAAACCAGTCAAATACTGTCAAAGACTACTTTGGGACCTGAGGACCACCGAGAAGACACTGCTGTCCTCGTGTTCCAAATGAGAGCAGGCACTACGGGCCACATACCTCATAGCTCAACATACAGCAAAGCCAAGAAGCCACATACAATAGCAGAGGAGCTCATCTTACCTGCGGCCCTGTAATGGTCAGAGAGGTATTAGGCCAGTCAGCAGTGGACAAGTTGAAAACCATACCGCTATCTAATAACACCATAATGCAGTGCATTGAAGACATGTCAGCCAACATAAAACAACAGACCTCAGCGTGGATTCAGGCCAGCGCTTACTATGCATAGCAGATGGATGAGTTGACAGATATTGCTAATCATGCCATTTTGCTTCTTTATGTGAGACATGTGTGGGATGGAGACATAGAGGAGCAGTTTCTATGCAGCCAAGACCTCCCAACGTCTACAAAGGCAGAGGACATTTTCAACGCTATTGATTTGTTTTTGGACTCTGTGGGACTGAGTTGGGACAATTGTGTGGGGGTAACAACTGATGGCACAGCTTCCATGACTGGAAAAACCTCAGGAGTTGTGAAGAAAACCCCGGAGAGAGCACTGAATGTGACGTTGACTCACTGCTTTTCTTCACTGAGAAGCACTTGTGGCTAAGGATATGGTGCCAGTGCTTGATACAACACTGAAAGATGCCATAAAAATAGTGAACTACATTAAACAGAGTGCCGAGACCAGCCGCTGTTTCACACAGCTGTGCAAACACCTGGGATCAGAGCACGTCCAGTTGTTGTATCGTTCAGAAGTTCACTGGCTTTCGAGGGGAAAGGTAATGTCACGCTTTATGAGCTTAAACACGAAATTGCCGCCTTCCTCTCACACTTTAACTCCCCGCACACTGAGATGCTCAGTGATGAACTCTGGCTCGTGCATGTGGTGTATCTTGCCAATGTGTTCGAGAACCTCAACACTTTAAACGTGTCTATGCAGGGGAGAAGACGCATCTTTGAACAGACTGACAAAGTCACTGCCTTCAAAAAGAAGCTGAGGTTATGGATAAAGCACTGACTAAAAACAGACTTGACATGTTTCCCAACACTTGCCACGTAGCAGGAGAGCTAAATACAGATATGAATCTCCTCCTCGATTGTTCACTGCTGGATTTGGGTTAACACTATGAGCGACTTTGATTTCACAGAAAGGTGATGTCTGTTTCTCAGACTAAAGACTGAATGAACACTGGAAAAAAACTTTAACATCAGGTGGCTGGGAACACAGAGGAAAGCCACACAGCATGGCTGAAAGCTCCCCAGACCTCCATTAAATGGAGGCTGTGATGAGGAATTTTGTCTGACATATTTATCCTGTTTGCACTGTTACCTGAAATGAGTTAAAGCCAAGACAACTGCTATCGACGTGGGAAAAGAACTCACTTTCAGTCACCTACAGAAGTCAAAGTTTTGCAACAACAGAAAGTGATGAGAAAACTATTTAAACCTTTACAGGTGAAAAACAAAAGCTGAAATAAGACTAACTTCCTGCAACTATCATATGAGCATGACATGCAGTCTAATCTAAAAGATAAATTAAGTACCTGGTTCCTTAAGCAAGTAGGAATGACTATATTCAACATCAACATGTGCGGGTTTGTGTAACAGCTGATTTGTTGATTCACTTCCAGATTTTCCTTTTTTAGTTTGATATCAAAGCATCCTGTTACCTGTTAGTTTAACTTTAGGGTGTTCATGTTGAGTTCTAAAAGTTCCAGTACTTGCCTCTGATTCCCAGGGTCCCAACACTTTTCCTTCACTCTCCTCTTGTTCTTCTTTCTGACCCTCCACCTCTGCTTCATTTTCCTCCTCCATCTTTTCCTCTTCTGATATTCTGTCAGTTTCATTCTCCTTCTCCTCTACGTCCATCTCTCCCATGGTCGTGTCAACAACTGTGGTTGAGGTCGTCCAGGTTGTTACCACTGTCTCCTTGAAAGATTCTTCGTTCTCTTCCTCCATCGTCATGACCTCTGACTTCTCTCCATCCAGCACTGGAGCCACTAGGGCCTCTTCTTCCTCCATTTCAGTCACCTCTGAGGACGACAAGCAGCTCATGTTTACCAATAATCAATGGTAGAAAAAATACTCTGATTGTAAAAGCACCAATACAAGTGTAAAAATACCTACAAGTTAAAAGTCCTGCATTCAAAATGTTACTTACGTAGAAAATTATTACCATAAAATATATTTGAAGTGCCAACAGTGCCAGTAGTGATTCTGCTGAACAGCCCATTTCACATTAATGTACAGGATATTATTGGATCCTAGTGACTGATGCGTTACTGTGTCCATCACTTTAAAGCTGCAGCTGGTAAAGGTGGAGCTGATGGTAACTACCTTATATACTTATACTGTGAAGTACTTTCCATCCTGCTGGGTAGCTGGTGGATTTCCCACTGGGATCAATATAGTCTGATGGTTCTACTGGGTTTGGTTTGATTCATCTGACACCGAAGTTATCAAATACATGTAATGTAGAAAAAGGTACAATATTTGCCTCCGAAATATAGCGAAGTCCAAGTATAAAGTAGCAGAAAATGGAAAGTGATTTAAAAGATTATGTAGGTTTAGCTAGCCTGAGCGCTACAGGCAGGTGTATTTGAACATAAAGTATGAACAGAAAGAACATTTGTATATTTTACATTAGAAAAAGGAAAAAAGGTTCTGTCCTGAAAGAGTAAGCAAATACATTGTTCCTGTCCAATGACTCATCCTTATACAATAGATGAGGGGGAAGTAGGTGAGGAGGCAAACGTCTGCATCAGGCGTGGCTTCATGGCCATGTTGTGCGAGCGATGCAGGACAGACTAAATTATAATACTATTCATTTACATGATCTAATATGGTGTTAATGTTGCAAAGTAATGCACAAGGAGTGTGCATTTGATAGCCAGTGCAGCTCCCTGCCAGACGACATTGTGCTGTGGTAAAGCAAACGCTGAGCCCAGTTCAACTTTTCTGTCTATTCTGCATCTCCGACAATGGTACCCCGGCTGCACTGTCACACTTACCTCATTTAAATGAATACAGGAGCTACATTTATTCAGGTGGGCCTGAAGTCTATCTGAGCACCCAAATTTCTTAGATCCGCCCCTGGAGCTCAGATAGACTTCAGGCCCACCTGAATAAATGTAGCTCCTGTATTCATTTAAATGAGGTAAGTGTGACAGTGCAGCGGGGGTGCCATTGTCACACTTAACTCATTTAAATGAACGGGAGCTACATTTATTCAGGTAGGGCTAAAGTCTATCTGAGCACCAGGGGTGGATCTAGAAAATTTTGGGTGGGTGGCCAGGGTGGGGCACAGAGAGGGGGTGGCACATTTGAAATACATGTAAAAAGTAAATTTAACACCTGGTTCTAAAAAATAATAAATCATACATTATTAAGAATCCAACTGTTTATAGATAAAGCACAAATAGCCCCCCTTCCCAAAATAACCAACTGATATGGGTGAAGATAATTTGACCAGTGGCGGGCCGTGCATTTGGTACCTGGGCCTTCAGTGGAGACTTACCTGACTTAATTCACCTCTTAATACCACCACTGTACGTCGCAATTATAGAAACCATCAATGCTATACAAAAACGCAATATAATAAAGTGTGGCATTACAGAAAGAGAGGTATTTCGCATATTGAGGGTGAATACCGTTTTTACTAAAGCAAGAAACCCAGTTAAGACAACTCCAAAACCTCTACACTACAACCGCAACTGTGATCTCTGCGTTTCAGTTCCATCGTAAGCCCTTTTCTAGTTTTGCTCTGACCAACCAATCAGAGGACGGAAAAATGCTGACATCATTGTGGGCCAGCTAGCTGGCCCTGTGAGGCGAATTTGAAATCTGATTGGTTAAAGAAACAGTCCCATTGCTAATATAGTTTAAGTTAACATGGGCCAGCACTTCTGGTTCTGAAGGCCCTGGGCAGATTAGATTGACATGGCAACACATAGAGGCTGAAATCTGATTGGACAAAAAATCTAACATCCACATACACGTACTGGAAGCGGTGCAGCCAGGAGAAATACTACGAAATGAAGAGAACAGACTGTTGGGAATAAATTAATACAATTTCATGGAACAAATATTAGAATTTCAGTTGTAAATGTAGGTCAGTGCTTCTAATAGTGTTTAGGCCAGCAGAGAAGGCCTTGCTGGCCCTGACGGCCCGCCACTGAATTTGACCAATATCAGTTGTAAAACACCAGAAAAATGATAGCTGTGTTTAAAACAGTAATTTGTGGTTTTTCATTTATTAATACTGATAAGCATCACATTTTGACACTGGTAGGGGCGGCACATCAGACTCTGGCCACCCACATCCACGGGATGGCCAGGAGTGGCACTGGCCACCCCCTGGAGCCACCCTTGCTGAACACAGTCTTGGTGGTTGATGGTGCTGTTAGTAATTGTAAGGCACTCTGGACAAAGTACAGTACAATTTCTGATTTTAATCAACTTAAAGTGAAACTCACACCGACTGTCTACATTGTCAAGTTAGAATCTAAAATATTTAACAGTTATGGGTGGGAGAGGAGAAGTATATTTCTCTTACATGTGTAAGGGCGTCTCTACTGTTTGAGCTGATCCAGGCTAAGACTTGTTACTAGCTATGAGCTAGGCTATATTAGCCTAAAAACGCCTCCTAGCCACTGTTCAAGCACATTAATAGAATACAAGCCACTCACAAGTGAAAAATGATCATTGTAAAACTTGACTAATTAATAAAACTGCAGGCTGTAAATGATCAACTCTCTTGTCAGAATCTTTGTTAGGTTCATCAACAGTTTTAGCTTCCTCAAGGTCATGTGATCTTGAAGATGTCAAGGTCACATTTTCAGCTTCATCAAAGTCACTGTGTTAAATGTGAGGGCCTTCCTCTCAGGATCACGGTCACCTCTGCGTGTTGTAGTGTCTTCAGTGTCAGATTCCTATTTTTTAGCCTACAACCTTCCCCAAATCATTTTCCAAAGCCTTTGTTAGCTTCCTGAGCCTCCTGCTCTCAGTCTGTTGCACTCACCTTGTCTGAAATATCTTGGTCTCTGAAGAGGCTGGTTTTGTGTTTGGCTTGCTCGGTGACTTGGTCACCCTTTCGGCTTTCAAAATTTCTCACTCGCTTCTTCTCAACCTGATATGGAGATGACTCTTGGTTTTCTTAGTATTTTCTCAAACTTTCCCTTCAGGCTCTTCGAGGCTTCTTCAGTGTCGTGGTCACCCTTTGTGCTCCTGAATGCCTTGGACACCACTTCAGTTTGTTTAATGTTGTACTCTTCCTTTCAGCTTCTCCGGGCAACTTTTTTATTCACATCCAACTCAAAATATAAATCTGCGACCTGCCTCATCTGGTCTCCGACTTTGTCCTGTGAGGTTGACAGTCTTGTGGGTGTTTGCTTGTTGGCTCCCTCTTATCACATTTAACTTCCGCATTTAGCCCTCTACTCAAGACCTTATCACCACTGCACCCTTCATTTCAATCACAGTGCCAGGGCTGGGTACCGTGTGTGGCACTAAAACAAAAACTGCATGAATGTGTCGTCCTCTCTTCCTGATGCTAAATGTGTTTTTATAGGTAGTAAAAAAGCTGGCTCAGTGACCAGGAGCTCCAACTCTCAGATCTTGTTAATGAATTCTGCAACACAAAGCTTTCCCCGAGACAAATCCCTGTGAGCTCGTCCTGATGTGAACCAGTTTCACTGCAGAAGAACACACTTCGCTTCAAGCTTAATAATTCTACTCAAACTTCACTTTTTTTTTTTTTTTTTTACTGAAACCATACTTCATCACAAGTGAATCCAAATCCGGATAATACAACTTCCCAAGGCTTCATCAGATCACACAAAGCCCACAGTGTTGGGGGTCAAAAGTAAACAGCAACTTGAATTCTAAATTATACCTACTCTGGATTCTGGCAAACCAGAAACCTTAGTTTTGCTTTTTTAGCTTAATTTTTAACTTCTTCACTTGCATGATCACCTCTTTACTTCTCATACTGACAGACAACTCCACCTCAGTCTAAACTCTCACCCACCAAGTCGCATGTGAATTGTTTTGTGCATGACCGAACACTGACATAACACACTTCTGCCCACGAAACATTTAGCAGCAAGTGTCCAAAAGAATCGAAACACCATTGCTATGAGCTGTATGTCAAAACTCAGTACATCCAAACATTACTCATCATTTACATTACAGCTCACATTATGTTCAGCTTTAAGCACACAGCAATGCATCACCTGCCCTCACATCTTCCTCCCACTACACTCCTCTTTGTCCCTCCTCTTCTTTCATCAGTAGGTCAACCTTGAAAAGAGCTGAGTAATATCACAAAAATGTGTGGGCTGTTGAATGTCACAACATTTGAGAGAGAGGCAACATGTGTCTTAATTAAAGCGGAGCAAATGGGGAGAGAGAATGTGTGGCGTATTAACAGAGTGGAATAATGCAATCACACGGTCAGGTAAACAGAGGATAGGGGGAGCAGAGGACAGAAAGAAATTAAAACAACTTACACAGATAGCAGAGAGATGGGAGAATGTAAAAAATAAATAAATAAATAATTCATCCACACATTGCCACTTTAACAATATAATGGAGTGACTCTTTAACGCTGAAGGTGAATCTCAGAGTTTTACACCAACATTGTATGAAGATACTGAAAGTAAAACAAAGACCAGGACAAATTACTGTAAAGAGGGAGTGAGGACAGCAGAGACACACTACCTTGGCATCCTATGCTGAGGGTCACTGAGCCGTCGGGACATGTGTGCAGACATTGGGGTGCACACACTCACATCACAGGCGAAAAACAAAACCAAAAAACAATGTTAACCAAGCTTTCATGGATACAAATGACTCAAGCTGACTGCAGACATACTGTACATCACAGAGGAAGATATTAGTTGGTTGTAACTGCTCATTGTATTAAACCACAGAAGTGTTCTCATAGAGCAAATTAACTTGGAAGAAGAAAAACACTGCTACATGTATATGTAATTATATTTACTTTACTGTAGATTATTATTTTCAGGCTGTAACTAATGATTATTTTCAGCGTCTCTAATGTGACAGTAAAAAACTCCTTCAAACTATCCAGAACCCAGACATTTTACTACCATGTACAACAAACATGACACCCTGTTTGAGAAGCTGCATATATCTCACATTTTTGCTTAGACTAAACTAATTAAGATGATCATTTCATTAACCAAAATAGTTGCACAACAACTTTAACTGACTATTCCACAAACTTACAAACTGTTTCATCTGTATATCATATAAAAGCTGCTATTCAAACAATGGTACCAATTAATGGAAGGCTCTAAAACTTTTAATATGAAAAATTTGCAGGAAGTGAGCTTCACTGCAAGACAAGAGGGAAATCAGAAAATGACTAATATAAATGTTTCAAATAAAGGCCAGGTTCTCTTTGCTCTTGTGAAGTTATGATACATATGCAAACCTCGTTGTTTGTTAGAGCTTCATAATCACAAATAATAAACAAAGTGAAAGTTCAGGTCACTTACGCTGGAGAAGATGCTCCTCTTCAAACAGCAGACATCACGAACACTGGGGAGCTTGATGACATGAACATTTCATGTACATGTTTGTGCATGTGTGAGTATGTGACCATGCTCACTGACCAAAACGCACCCCTCACTTTCGCTCTTACATTTCACTGACATGTAAAAACAACAACACAAAGGAAGGTGGTGGGCATCGCTGTGCGTGCACATACAGTACTGATCTGCTCTTGAGTCCGTCTGAGTCTTTGCATCTCAGGAGTGTCAGACACAATGCTGAAGCCTCGACCTTTACTCTCCTCAAAATCCTTCTTATACTTCACCTGCAGGAGGGAGAGAGAGGAACACAAACACTGGGTGTTAAAGGAACATTAGAGACTCTTATTCTGGCTGCTGTGGCATCACATCCAGATACTAATGGAGTCTGACTGCAGAAAGTGATCCAATGATGACGTGGACAGGCCAGTTCCTAAAACTAACCAGGATGCATCACAGCTACAGCTCAAACAGAGGTTAGAGGCTATAACCATAACCTGGTTTATAAACTAATGAAGTGGATAACACAGTTTAAGCTCACTGAAATCACATTACAGTGGCTGTGGCTCACGAGGTAGGGCAGTCGTCTCCTAACTTCGACTCCCGGTCTCCCCGCATGCCTAAGTGTCCCTGAGCAAGACACTGAACACCGAATTGCTAGCGCCGTTGCGTCGCAGCCTGTCGTCATCGGTGTGTGAATGGGTGAATCGTGTATGGCCAGTGCAACACACTGTGAGAAAAGCGCTATATAAATACAGTCCATTTACAGTGAGGACAATCAGGTATAAGAGTGTCTGAGGGTGAATTTTACTCTGAATGTGCCCACAAAGCAGGAATAATTACACCAACTTACACCACGATATAAAAAGAAGCTTTTGAACATGATCTCTGCCTTTTGTTCACTGCACACAGTGTCCCACAGACGATATCAACAACAGGACAGCCTGCACTTCAGTTCGACCTTCAGAGAAACACTGCAGACATTTAGCCATATGTCATCCTGCTGGTGTCTGTCAGTCATCAGCAACAGCCAATTAACCCTGAGAACAGAGTTATATAAGGCTGCAGACCACAAAAGTATGACTCAGACAGCTGAGGTGTGTGTGTTCTGGTATTCTGCTCTCACGGTGATTGTCCCTGTTGTCACCACAAGGCAGATTAAAGCCGCATTTATCAGCTGAGGCTCCCTGCTAAGATAATATGACAAGCTAACTAAATAAACCGCACGCACACACACAAAAGTGCAGGAAAATAGCAGATGCTGCACACAGACTTGCACCTATAGAGGGTGGAAATAACATGTTTGGTCTGGTGTCAAAGAGGGTGTGTGATGGGGTAGGGGATATTATTTAATTATAAAGGGTACTGTTCCATATAATTTGTCCTGGAAGGCATTTCTAGTCTTGTACATGATTGGTTACATTAAACATCAATAGAGACAAGTTGCCAGTTAAACATTTTTTGGAAGATAAAAATATTTGCCTTATCTCTATTTTAAAATACTTAACATCCAGCATGTAAAAAGAGAATCCGTTGATGGCAGTAGGAAGCAGAGGAAGACAGGCACAGAGTAAATGCATGTTTAAATCTCTGGTCCGTACTGAAAATGACAAACATGGATCTTTAAACATGCAAAGCAGGACACACAAATACACACACATCCCATGACGAACAGCACGTCTCCTTCTGCAGACTGCTGGGTGGACATCTGTCCTTTTGTGCTGCAGTCTGCTGGGTGCACACACACACACACACACACACAGAAGATGAGGGCATATGGCAGAAAGGTGGTGCTGCTTCAGCCTGTCCTACATGCCCCTCGCATGCATTTCAAGATTCAAGATTTTTATTTATGCATAAACAGGCAGCATACAGGAATTCTTGTGCAGCTCTCTATTCGAGTCAGGTAAGGAGTCAAAAGCCAGAAAGAACACTTAGTCTTAAAATAAAAAGTTACATAAAGGCAACAAAGCCTGTCATCTTCCCAATAAGCCTGCCCAGGCGAATGGTGTTGAATGCAGAACTGTAATCCAGGAAGAGCATCCTAGCATACGTACTGCTGTTGCCCAGGTGTTTCAGGGTATTGAATAAAGCCAGAGCCATCGTGTCGTCCGCTGACCTGTTGGGGTGGTAGGCAAACTGGAGGGGGTCTACAGTGTCCGGGACCATGTGGTTAACGTGTGTGAGGACCAGTTTCTCTAATCACTTCATGGCGACTGATGTGAGCGTCACTGGCCTGAAGTCATTCAGAGCGGATGTGTCTGACGTTTTAGGGACCGGTATGATAATGAATTTTTTGAAAATGCGAGGAACTACTATTTGTGTGTTAGTAAATCAGGAGAGTGACTCATCTCGTCTCCAGGAGGCAGAACTGTCGGAGCAGCTTCCAGTGACAAGCCTGAGTGTTTGTTTTCATCCTTGTGTGGTGCCAGTGGAGCGAAGGTGTGACCCAGAAGGCTGAGTTAAAGCATATGAACTGTGCACTGATTGAACTAAGAGGCTCTGAATGTACAGTGGTACATGCACGTCTCAGGTTCAATACCCAGACACCCTCCATCACTGAGGTGTACCTGAATTCAAACCTACGCAGCAGTCAGTGGTGGAGTTCCTTCACCTGCCTCTGCTGATGAGAATCATCATTTTACTGACCCACTCTCAGTAAACAGGGACAACTACAGGGTAAATAGTCAGGTTTCCAAATGTGGCACAGATTTCAAACACATTTCCAGAAAATTAGCAAAAGAAATTGCAAAATTTATACACACTTCGATCAGGCAGTGTCGTGAGAATATTAGGAGTTGAACCCAGTGACGTTTAGTGGAGCCAGTTCTCCAGCTGGGTGCCATTAAAACACCACAGAAGGCACAGAAAGATGATTGTTGAGGGATGTTACAGTTTCCTCACCGCTCCACAGGCATCTGATCTTTTCATCTGCCGCTATTATAGTCTCATCAGTAGAGCACGAACGTCATGACCATTATACATTACATGTTATTAGATTTTCCTATTATCAATACATCGTTTTGCACATGAAAACAGGTGGAAACGCATGTATTGAGATTGAATCAGCAAACCTGCTCATGATGAAAAGACCCAAACCAACCTGACAGAGCAGAGAAGGACGTCAGACATGGTGACTGCTCTTAAAGGTTTTAATACGTTGTCTTGCTTTGTGTATGCGGTGTCTGTGTGCGCTCACCTGGCTCTGCAGCTCACTCTGCTGTTTCAGTCTCAGGTTTTCTGGCGTGTCGGCCACGATGGTGAATGATGTCTTGGGGTAATGTCTGAAAACACAAAGAGGAGCCATCCATATGTGAAATGCTGACTGTTTAGCTGTCCATCAAAGAAACACAAAGAATGAAACTACAGAGAGCCTCAAAACAATGATGGGCTACAACTGGATGGCATCATTAAGGTAGGATTACTGATTTCTATAAAGACCTAAACATGACCACTGGTGGAAACAGTGGTCATGTTTGGGTCACTTTTAAATCCACTTTAACAATAAAGGATGCAGGCTTAAAAATGTCAGAGCTCTTTCCATGCTGAGAACGACCTTAATGAGTTAATGAGCCACCAGGGCTATGATATTAATGGAAACAATAATACACTGTGAGCCCGAGCAATACCAAGCACTTCCCCACCATAAGTCTCTCTTCTCACTTGACCTTTTGGTCTCCTGTTAAGATCAACATTTGTTTCTCTGCAGCTACTGTAAAAGCACCGTCAGTGAGTGTGGACTCAGAGCTTTTATCTGCAGGAACACACAGCATGAAGGACAATGGAACTGATCTGAGAGACCACAGCATGAGGTGGGTGGATGGGAGATGGAGGTGGGAAGCACTCCCACACGTCGCCTTCAGGGACCTTTGAAGATATTTTTATTATAAGCAGCATCGAGCTTGTGAGGACACAAACCTATCTCTATGGAAATCGCTGCCAAATCATCTGAGAGCACACAAACCAAATTACAAGCAGCATTCATCACTATTCCATCATTTCCCACATGAGAGTTAAAGTCCCCAACAGGGCTGTGGAGTCCCCAGGTGGTGCCCCTTCCTAGACCCCACCTAGACCCCACAGTCGGAGCCTTCCTCTGAGCGATTTACAGCTGCATGGGGACGACCCTCTCCTTCTCAGGGGTCAACTCAAACACAGTGGCGCTCAGCCGGGGGCTCATGAGTCTAGCCCTTCTCCACTGGTTTGGTTCCAGATCCTGTGCTGTGGGTGGAGGTGAGCTAGTTAGTTCTCCACCTCCCACACGAACTCAGGATCCTTCACTCCACATCCCCAGAGCCAGTCACACCCTGTAAAGTTTTACTCACACTGTAGTGCCAAACCTGCGATTCTGAATGTAATGATGACGATTTACTACTAACTGTTATTATTTAATGAATGTGACATTAGTCATTTAGCATCATCCCAATTAGATTTTTAAGGCATTCATGGAGGGACTATGAGACAACAGGCCCCGGGCACAGACACAAAGTTAGTTTAGAAGATGTCTCTATTTCTTATTTTGCAGCCAAGCAAAAATATCAGCCGTTTGTTTTAGGTATTTTCTTTACTGTTTTACATTTTCTAGATTAAATGCAAGAATAACAATAAATTAATTAATAATACTTGAACACATGTTGCAGCCCTACTGTATATTCAGCTTTCCTGAATGGCTATAAGTCACTTTATGGCGCTTTGAAAACCCACTCAACCCGGCAAGTGTCAGCTGACTCATCCTGCAAACCTCCGTTCAGTTTACTGGCTCCCCTTGTGGAGCTGCTTTAGTCCTTGAAGTACAGGAGGTAAACAACACAGAAACACAACAGGAAAAAGTATAACTTGGACGCGAGTGAAGCACAGATTCAAAGGCAGCTAGAAAAGCATGAGTCACAAGATTTATAAAACAAACTAAAAGACAAAATTACAGCCTTAAAGTGGGCAACACGTCATGTGACCCGTCCACATGTCTACCTGTTCAGTGGTAGTTTCATGTCGAGTCTGTGATCTCCAAGTAGAAATAGTGAGGAGCAAACACAGCAGCTCAGAGCAGTTTTCCTCTGAGCGAGCTGATTCACAGAGCCCTGGAAGCCTCTTTGTGTGTGTGCGAGTGTGTGAATCACTGATGCCAGCAGCATAGTCCGACCACTCCAGTCCTTCACTCCTCCCTCCCACTTCATATCTTTCTTTCTCCTGCTCATTTTAGCTCCCTCCCCTCCCCTCCCATACACTCTCTCTCTCTCCTCTCCACTTCAGTTGCACATGAATTGTTTGATGCACTGACCAACTGAACAACATGTTTTGGTGAGAAAGGAGCCGATTGGTCAGACTCTACAGATGCTGCTGTAACACTGTACATCTCTCATGTCACCGTTTAACCCCTGTGACCCTGGAGGTCAACCACAACACACAGTAGAAGCCTAACAGACACACATATGAACAGGTGACCTGCACCAGACTCCACTCACTGAAACTTCAGATTTATAACCAACACCCCCAAAGTCACAAACAGCATCATTACGCAGTTTTGCTTCCATCCCTACCCAGTCATTATAATGAGGGTGATAATTATGGGCTCACAGCCAGTCTGCTGTGGTCTGTGCACATCTGGGACTTTTAACTGATAATCAGCAGGTCGTAAACAGTCATCAGGATCTTTACTCACCTGTCTGTTACACACACTCTTTGTCTCCACAGTCAATAACGAGCCTATTATAGTTAGAAAACGCACACAAACCAACAGACAGGAATTCTATGTGTGTGTGTGTGTGTGAGAGAGAGAAAGAGATTATTATTAAGGTCCTTTTGTTTTAAGTGTACGTCCCATGTCCTTAAACATAACTGGACTACACTTTAAGTGACCTCAGACTCCAGAAATGTGTTATCAAAACTAATAAGTTTTATGTTTGTTTGACAAAATGGTGATTTTAAAAAATGACTTCATAAAAAACAGCTTCACACCAACAGACACAAAGTGACTCATACAGCTTTAAATCAATGTGATCCACTCGTGTTAAAATGATGACTGCAGTTCCTTTGTTGTTGAATGAGAGGAGGCCTGATAAAGTTAGTTACAAAAAGCTGCAGTCGGTTTCTTATTATTTTTACTTTGCTCCCCAGTGTTTTTGTTTCTTCTTTCTCCTTCTGTCCATCTCAATTTCTTATTACTGTCCCTTTAGACATTTAGTTTGTCAGACATTTTTAAAGACCACAACATCAAAACACAACAATTCTGAGAAGACTCCAAGTGTGTGTGTGTTGTTTTTTTTTAACCAACAGCTCCTTTGTTACACTTTGGCTGCTCCTAGTTTCACCCTCAGGTTTCACTTCACCTGCTCCTGTCGCTGCTGGTGACCGTGGATGTTTGGTTGTTCAGCACAGCTCAATCCTTCGAGACAAAGAAGGATTTGGCTCTGTGGGATGTTTCTGTCACACACACACACACATATATACACCCACACACACAGCTTGCCAAGGTAACTCTGTGCTGGCTCAACAACAGCACTAGAGAGCAATGTAAGGAGATTAACAGACCCGTCTGTGCGGTTCTTCACTGGCCACTGTTTTAACCAAAGTTCCTAATGGACAGATTTCACATTTGAGAACCCCCCCCAACAGGGGCATAAATCCAAGTGGGAGGTGTAGTGCAGAAACACCACAGGGATAAGATGCAAGAAAATGAGCAGCGATCACCTGAATTCTTCCAGTTAAGATCCAGCACACATCCTCAGCTGAATGCTTGGGATCTCAGCCCTGATGGAATGAGTCAAATCCAGCTCCTGTTTGTAAAGGAACTAAAGTTTTCAGTTTACCTTGTGAATGGATTTGTATTACTTGTGAGTGAGCTACAACCTTTATAACTAGCACTAGCAGCACTATTAATTACAGTGAGGAAGCTAAAAGCTAAACTGGAGCATCAGTACAAACTGAAATACTGAACCGGTTTACGTAACACCACACTCATCACACATACACACAAATTCTAGGACAAAAACTAATTACACAGCTCAACAAATAAAACCATGTCTGATTAGCCCCTGACCTACAACATGGGTTAAATATAACCCAAAAAACAGGAATGAACACACACACAGTGTCCTTTAAACTGTTTCCAGTTCCCTCACACACATCCTGCCTTTCTGTTCCTGCTCGGTTAAGGCACCAGATTTACAATACACCAGTGTGTGTGTGTGTGTGTGCAATGGGTGTGTTGTGGATACAGATTTAGACTTACTATTGTCTAAGTTACCAAAAGACAGGCAGTCTCCTCAGTCAAAGCAGCAGTGATGCACACAAGTCTAACTGAGCATTCAGATGCACAAAGTGTGTGTGTGTGTGTGTGAGGCCCAAAGAAAAGCAGATTTAAATGCAAAGACTGCAAGTTTATTTGTTGCACATTTCTTTGTTGATCCTCTCCTTTAACAAAGAGCAGTAACTTACCTTGTAGGCAGTTGTCATGTACACGGGTTTACAGATTTCTCTTCTATGAACCATGGAGAACACACACACACACACATCTGGGAGTTTTCTCCAACCTACAACAGTTTTATGCCAGGTACTGGAGAAGCAGGAGACATGGCCGTTAATCACTGTAGCTACACTAGGGTGGTTGTGTGAGGGGGGACGAGCCGGCAACACCTCAGTCCCCCTCACTGTCAACAACAACACAAGCAGCACACAGACAGGAAGATGACGCTTTGTGTTTGGATTCTGACAAGTGAGACAAGAGGCGGTGGAGCTCCTTCACTAGGAGCCGTCACACAGAACAAACTGTATGAAGCAACGTGGATGCTCTTTTAGAGAATCAGTGTGAGTGAGTCAGACGAAGAGGAAGAAGAGAGGCGAGGAATAACAGCTGAAATGTGTACCAGTGTGTTTGCTGGTCAGTCTGGCCACACTCCATGTTTCTGCTTAGGTGCTGATGAAAATCTCAGCGTGGGCTCAGGACAGCCTTGGCTCTAATAAACCTTGTTGACATTTCAGCAGCCAGCCAACACGCAGATATGAAATCACGGGCACATTTCTTCCACACACTGCATTACTGCCACAAAGTATGGCTTCTTTGCACATGTGACCTACATGCACGGTTTTGGAAGTGTGTTATGGTTGCTGCAGTAGAGCATGGTATTGTAGTCCCAGTGTTTAATTATTTAAAGATACACTCAGTGATTTTATAATAACATAGGTCCAAATTTTCTCCCAGCTCCGTGCTAATGTTTTCACAAAGAAATGCAACATTACAGACTGCAGGATATCAAACCTTCATTGGACATTTGGAGATGCAGAGCAG